CCCCCCCCCCCCCCCCCTCCTTTGGTCTTCAAAAAACTTTCTTTGTTTTTAGGTTTTCAAAAATCTTGGTACAGATGTTCTTAAATCTGCTTTTGAAGGTTATAATGCTTGTGTTTTTGCATATGGGCAGACTGGATCTGGAAAGTCCTACACTATGATGGGAAATGCGGTATGTCATATTTTGCAAATGTACATTTTTGTTCTGTAACAAGGCTTTGAGATTATGCTACTGTGAGAATGTGCTCTTATGGAATTATTATTACCTATCTCTCTGTATGCCATTGATTGCCCTTTCATCATAACTTATAGTTGTAATCAGAGATTCTAGAAGCTCCCTGTTTCTTCTATAGCAAGATATTTACATTTGGAAGAAGTCTCTTTAAGGGATGCCCTGTTCTGTTGATCAAAAAGCTATCATTTTTGCTGTGTATCAGAACCACAAAATTCAAATGTCATTACTGCTTTTCCATGCCCGGGGTGAGGCAAGGAAGAAGATACTGATTTTGAGGGACTAAATGAACAGTCCCTTCTGAAAACATCTTTTTTTTTTTGGCCTCTTTTGAAGGCTTACAAAATTAAAATGGGTCCTTGACCCTTGCTTAGAAAAGGCTTTCAAGTGCAGAGTAGAAACTGGGAGTGAGAGTAGCTAAATTTAAGTTTCAACACACTATTATGGAATGATGCACTGATTTTGATTTGAAGGATTAAGTCCTGCTGAGCACTGCAGTGAAGAACCTGGAAGAGGGAGGTGTGATAGGAGGGGAACTTCACAGGTTGTGAGGCCAGAAAGGAGCACTTGTGCGTAATTACCTCCATGATTGCCCGAGGAGGGAAAGAACTCCCTGAACTGCTGAGGGTGGAGCAGTTTAAAAGAGCTGACTGATCACGTATGTCTATTTGCAAGGTAGCTTCTACAGATTTTATTCTCTTTTAGTCCTTGGGGAAAAATACAGCATGCCCTCTGCCAGCAGCAATGAAAAGGGGAAAGTTACCACTTCATTAGATAGATATCTCTTTGGAAACTGTAGTAAGATTGGCCACTGTGTACCTTTTTGAGTTTAGGAGAGTAATTTAGCTGTAAAACTTTTTCCCTCGGTTATCACAGAATAAGTAGGTTTATATTTAACTTTAGTGTGGTAAGCAGAATAGATTTTTGTAACCTGAAATAGAAATCCACATCTAGGTCATAAGACTTTTTCTGAAATTTATATGTGACGTATTTGTGAGACTTCCTCACTATATATAATGACTAATCATTAAGAGAATTTGCAAATGAGTAGGTGGTGAAGTTTGTTTGACACTGTTCAATAATAAAGGTCTGATCTTCTTGCCATGATACAGAAATACTTTAATTTGACTTGGTATGTAGGGTGTGTAAAATATACTCAGCTACTAAGTTAAATGATGGCGCTGTCAGAAAGACTACGGTGCCATAAGAAAACTTGAATTGGAAATACATTGTCTTTTTTTCCTCCTTCTCCTTAAGGAGCATAAATTCTGCTCTCCTTTTGCTTTAAATATCTGATGTTCTTGGCTCTGGAAGATTTTTGCTATAATACTGTGTGCAGCAACCATTTCAAGGAATATGTGGAACAAGTAGAATGAGTCTTGAGCAGAGATACTGAGATGGTCGGAGATCTATAAAAAACATAATTTATCAGGAATGTCTGAGTCAACTACCCTAAGAAAGGAAGACTGAGGAGGAACAAGAGAGTCTTAAGAGCCTTCCAAGATGTGCAACACTGCTGCAGAAAAAAAGGGAGTAATTTGTCCAAGGGAAATGAACAAGAAGCACTAGCTCTTAAAATGCAGTAAAGAGGTTTCTGGTTAGATATCAAGAAAAGAAAACAGGCTTTTAATAAGAAAATTAAGCTCTGGAATATACTACTTGTTCTGTTCCTATGGACTTTCATGACTGGAAACCCATGAAAAAGACCTGGGAAATGCCATAGACCTGGTTGAAACTGCCATGGAACTGTAGGTGTTGAAAAGGGAGAAATGTTCAAATTTAATTTCTGGTTATAGTTAATAAGATGTGCATTTTACTGATAAATTATACTGAGAACTATACGTTCTTCCTTTCTCATCACTCTATTACTGTAGTTGAAGTTACTCAATCATAGCTAATATTCCTTATTTTGAGACTTTCTTTGCAGTTGCTAAATTATGTCAAACACTAATCATTTGCCTAACACTTTATGTAATGGGTGTCTTTCATGTTTTTTCCTTGAGCTTTAATTAAAACTGTTCAGGTGTTTCCAAGCATGAAATTAAAGAAGAGTCTTACTTTTTTCTGTGCCTATGTTAAAAAAAAAAAAAATCCAACACTGAAACCTGAAAGTTTAGTGGGCTTTTCTGTAGATGTAAGTTCCTCAAAAACTGTGTTGAGGTCCAAGACAGTATTTCGTTTTTTTTTTGTTTAACCTAACATGGTTAAACCTGAGCAAAGGAAGGAGGATGAGGAGCTGTGAGGTGGCAGCTGGAAGAAGATTGCTAGTGGCCAGAATGCTGTGGAAGGAGAGGAATGAGGAAAATCAGACGAGTGCAGGAACAGACTGGAGTGAGTGTGGGCAAAAAGGGTCAGATTTTTTTGAGGGAATCCCAGCAGAAAAAAGTCTTTGCCTGTGCAGCACTCTTCCTGCCAGAACCTGGCATGCAGGAGTCCACTGCCTTTGTGTTTTCTGGCTGTCAAATATCTGTAGGGTCCCCCCAAGCACCTCGTGTGGGTGAATGGTCTGCATGGGCTATGTTCAGGTTGGATGTTCAGCCTGGTTTGTCCTAATTTGCCTCCTGCTTAATTGCAGGAACCCTAACTCCAAGCTAGAATATCCCTTGCCTTCAGCAGTGCATAGAATTAGAATTAGTCCATCGCATCAAATCTGTTACGCTTTTTTGAACTAGAGGCAAATTGTAGCTGACAGACTGTTTTGTAAGCTACTTCTAATTTCGCAGCTCTGATCCCAAAGCTCATCTGTATGTATATCTCCTTTCCCTGTGTTCCTGGAAGCCACGTTCACTTGATCATCTCTGAAGGAGTGTTAGCTGCTGCCTTACCGAAGCGGTGGGGAGGAGGTGTACTCAGCAGGCAGTTAGTTGTCTATCTAATCAGATTTGGCACGCCGCAGAAATGTGCCAACAGAGAGCAAGTAGCTGCTTGTCAGCTAAGACCAGAGCCGATGGGGTTCTCCTCCTCCCCTCTGCTCCTAGGAGCAAACCCTTGCTTCAGCTGAGAAGGGCAGCTTACTGCTCGGCTGGAAAGGGGTCTCCTGGGAGCCGAGGGAGGAGGAGAGCTCCACACTGAGTCTCTGAGAGACAGCAACCAACATTGCTGAGATTCTCAGTGAGACCCGTGTCTGGCAACAGTGGTGGACCAGCGGCCTCGGTGGGACAAGGCTCAATGCTCAAGAGCAGGCTTAACCTAGAGGATGAAATCCTTCTGCTATTGGCTCTTATGTTAGCTGGAGTGGCACGGACCCTTTAGTGGATAGTTCCAGCCCTTCCAGTAAACCACACAGGTGTCCATAGGAATCTGTGTGAAGGAGTATGTTTTTCCAGTTTACTTCTTTTACATAAAAACTCTCTAATTGCAGAGTCAAGCATTCCAAAATTAAATGTCAGATTTAATTTGGCTGCATTGTGAGATAAACGTGATATAGTTTTACTGTCTGTATTGCATGCTAATTTATCCAGAGGACCTGCTGCATCTTTTGAGGGAGAGAATGGGCTGTGACCTAGGGATTAGGGACTTGAGTGAGGATGGCTTATGGATGAATGTATATGGCTCTTGCTCCATTCATTGCAGGTATTGCAAAGTCCATAGTGAAATGAGATAGATGGTGCGATGAGAAAAGAAGTATTGGGATAAGGCAGTTCCTGTGTTGCTCTGGAGACCAAGTTTCTGTCTTAAGCAGTTGGGGTTACTTGGACCAAGTGAGAGAGGTGAAATACAGCCCAATAGCAAAGAATTGCAGCTAGTATATAAATTCCAACACATACCACGACTAAAGTGGCAAGGTGACTGCAATGAAATAGTGCAAGAGAGTGTTTGTAGGTTTTCAGGTTTGTTTCCCACTGTTTCTGGGTCTTGGAACTTTCAAATAATATTCAAAATTACTATTTACCAAAACCTATTGCATGTATGCATGCATATATAGCCTTGCAAGTAAGAATTGCTGTTGTTGCAGGGTGATGCTGGTTTAATACCTCGAATTTGTGAAGGATTATTCAGCAAAATAAGTGAAAAAACAAAGCGCAATGAAGCATCCTTTCGAACAGAGGTCAGGTAGGTCTTGGCATGTTATATCGTTTGCTGATTATCAAACCTATTTCAATTAAAACCACCCTGTTTCACTTGCTAATTCTGAGAAAGGTATTTGTTTTTCAGATAACTTTCCATGCTTGGCCTCAGTCCTCTAATTGATTTTTTTTTTGCCGGATGTAGTCGAAATGTGCAATACTTCTCACTTCTTCAGTACACTTCTGTGTGTTTTGTTTTATGTTAATGGTAGTGACAATGCTTTTGCCATTAGAAAGCATCTTTCTTATTTTTACCCTTTATTTAAGACTGACATTAGAAGCTCTAATCTTGCTGATGTCTGCTTCCCTTCTACTTGCTTCTTACTTTTTTGGCCTTGCTGAAGACATTACTGTCTTAGGTCAACTTTGGACGCATTTGCTTCTGCAGGCATCTTGCTTCCAAACGCAATCACAGCATAACTTTGCTTTTTGAAAAAATCTTGTATCAGTCAGCATTTTTCTAATCTTTGTCTTTCAGTTATCTGGAAATTTATAACGAACGCGTGAGAGATCTTCTCAGGCGGAAGTCATCAAAAACTAATAATTTACGAATACGAGAACATCCAAAAGAGGGGCCCTATGTTGAGGGTAAGGCACTTGCAGTGTTTTGGACTGGAAGTTTTCTTACCTTTATATATTTAGAAGTGTTTAATTGTATAGTGCTTTTTTATCTTTTAAAATGTAAGTGGTGATGAATACGTTGTTTTTCTTTGGTAAGGCTTTTTTTATGGGCTTTTTTGCAGTTAGTTTTAAGTATTGGTTGAATATAACTTATAAATCTTTAATGTTTGAGTTGGAAAGAACCTATTAGTATCTAATAGTCTTAATCCATCCTCTGCCAGGGATGATTATTTTCTCTTGAGAGATTACGCATATGGTATTGCATTATATACTTCAGTTAAAATGTTTTTTTTTTTTCTTAACTTACTGTAAACTTACAAGTTTGCAGTTCATGCAAAGCTTCATTCCTTTTCTGTAAAGTGATAAAGAAGCATGGCAATAAACACCGTAATGGCAGCAATACTTGGCAGTAAAGAGGGTAATTTGAATCTTTTTTTTAAAGAAAATCAAGTACACCTATGAGCATACTGTAACACTTCTTGATTTTCTTTAGATTTGTCTAAACATTTAGTGCAAAATTATACTGATGTAGAGGAACTTATGGATGCAGGAAATATAAATCGAACTACAGCTGCAACCGGAATGAATGATGTCAGCAGCAGGTCTCATGCCATTTTCACAATCAACTTCACTCAGGTAAAAAAAGAAAAAACCTATTGTAATACATATTTGCATTCGATAACTCATGTAATAACTAAAACATACAGTTGTCAAATCAGCAAGTATCAATAGTGACTTTATGTGGCTGTCTTGTGATAGGGAAAGTTAAGTGTGAAACACTCTGAAAGTTGGAACTATGTTTGTCGTTGATTAAAATCTTTATAATTTACAGTGTAATAAGATTACTTAGAATGGCAATTAATTGACATAGAATTTGGGAGGATGATTGTTGGAAGTTGAGGCTAACCAGTACTGACTGAGCAGTTAAAGCATGTTTTATGGCATTGCTGTAGACGTTGTTACAACACGAGACGGTGAGGAAAGTATGTTTTATGTGACTTGGACAAGAGCACAGCACAGGCTACCTTTCGCGCCATGGTGTTATCCAAGGTTTGCAAGAAACCCTGTCTTCATGGCCCAGAAGTAGAAAGTAGAAATATTTTCTATTTTTTTTCTTTCTGACTCTTCCTCTTTTATCATTGGAATCCTCTTCATATTCCTTGATTCTCTGATGGAATATTGGAGAGATTTAATGCATTATTTCAGAGCGCAGGAATTTTTTGGTTATGTGTAGTGAGCTTTTTTTCCTAATGCCTCCAGCTGTTTGCAATTGTTTGGGTTCCTTTTAGACAGTCCAAAGATAACTTGCTAGAAGAAGAAAAGGTAGCATAGGGATGGTTTGCTCTTCTCACAGAACTTTGCATCTCTCCCCCAAAAACTAAACACATACAAAATGCCATGCACTAATCACAGTGAATTACTTGGTGTAAAGCTATTGGATGAGAATGAGAGGCAAGCAGCTCTACTGTTGTGCTGTAAAAGTAGGAGGAAGTTAGAAACAGTTATAGTTTGAGTCATTGTACAAAGATAGAAAGGGGGAGGAAGTCACAGTTAAAACCATAGAATAAAATTGCAATTGCTACTTGATTGAAGTTAGAGGGGAGAAATTGAGTGTAGCTGTGTGTATATCTTTAGCAGTGTGCTGTATATTAGTTGAAAGCTTAATAATATGAATGCAGCAATAAGCTGCATATGTAGCAATAAGCATGGTGCATCATGTAAATATCGGTTCACAGTTGTTAATGCAAGTACATAAGTTGCTTGAAAGTTGCAAGAAATTACAGTTTTAAAAAGTAACTACTTGAGTAGGAGTTATGCAGCAGTTTGTGATCAAATGCTTTTCTGTGGCACCTCACATCTACCTATCTTCTAAACCTCTGCTGTTGGAAGCAAGTTAAATTCAATCGTGATATGGAAAAGACAATTAAATGGGATTCAGTAAGATTTTAGAATTTGGTAGCTTAATGCATTTTTCTTTTTATTTTTGCCATAGGCTAAATTTGATTCTGAAATGCCTTGTGAGACTGTTAGCAAGATTCATTTGGTAGATCTTGCTGGAAGTGAGAGAGCAGATGCCACCGGTGCCACAGGGGTTAGATTGAAGGAAGGGGGGAATATTAACAAGTCGCTAGTTACTCTGGGTAATGTCATTTCTGCCTTAGGTAAGTGTCTTGGTTTTTGTTCATTACTGTTTCGTGTGTGTGTGTGTGTGTTGTTTTTTTTAATCATTGTGTACATTTGTGTTCATTTACAGTTTGCATTGCAACAAATAGTGGCCTAGCATGTAGTGTTTTTGAAAATGAATGAAAATGCATAACTGATATTTTCTTCCTCCTCCAGCTGATTTATCTCAGGACGCAACAAATCCTCTTGCAAAGAAGAAGCAAGTATTTGTGCCTTACAGAGACTCTGTGTTGACTTGGCTGTTAAAAGATAGCCTAGGAGGAAATTCAAAAACTATAATGATTGCCAGTAAGTGTTTTTAAATTACTTTTTGCATCCTGAACAGTTCATGCTTAATAGGATTAGCTGTAAATGTTTAGAATCCAGATGCTTCCTTAGGGCAGAGCATTGTTTACAGCTTTCAGCGATTTATTTCTTTCTGAGCTTTCTAGTAATCCTCTTCCTTTACCTGTGCTCTAGATAACATCTCGTACAAACATTGTCCTTTAAAAATGAACAGAACCAGACAGCAGTGAAATTACACCTCTTCTCGCTGTGTGTTTAGCACTGATGTAGTTTGTTCAGTAATGTCATGATCAACTGCGTTTGTCCCCAGAATGCAAGAGTTTCATTTTCATATGCAGATCATCTGTTTGTCTGCATGTATCACTGCTGGGTGTCTGACTGGTCACAAACGTAACAAGGCATCCAGATTGTGTATGCACAGTCATTAGGCATTTGCTTGCATAAGTAAGGGTCACCCAATTGTATATGCCTAATTGCTTGCATCTGCTCTGACATCTAACTCGCTGCTGTGTCCATCTTTCTGACACATGCACAGTGTAATGATTAGGTAATCTGACCACTTAAAGTAATAGCTCCTGCTTATCCTTGTAGTCCATTTGCATTCCAGACAGCTCAGTTACTGGCCATAAACACTCAGATCTGGGACCTAGAGGAAGTCTTGTACTTCTTTGCTTTTACAGGTTAAAAAAAAAAAAACAGCTTTGTGCATCTAGTCAATATTGATGTGTGAATCACTTTGCTTTTCCAAAACTGTTGTCTTTGTAGCGTTAGTAGCAGAAACAACCTGGTCTTTTTTGATGTGCAGTGGATAAGATTATGTCATGTTCATGTAGCCTACTTTTTGGATACGGACAGCACTTTAACTTTGTGTCTGAGTTGAATTATTTATGATCAGTCTTCTTACAGACTTTTCTTACAGCTTGCTTTTGAGCCGTCCAAAAGCTCAGTAAAGGTCACTTGGATTAAAAGCCTACCTATGGCATAAATATTGCAGATTTTTCCACAAATTGGAATGGGGATTCCATTTGCCAAAAAAAAAAAAAAAAAAAGCCATGAGGCCCTTTCAGAGAAGGGAGGATTTTGGATGTCTGAGGTGTAAGGTGTGAGGAGCAACTCTGAGGTTTTTTCCTCAGTTTTCTGTTCAACTGAAATGCAACCCAAGGCATGGAATCTTCTCTTGGAAATGGATGCGCGAGTAGAGCTGAGGGAATAAAATACGGTGGATCAAATTCTGGCTCTTTAATGAGAGTTATTTTGCTGTAGTCAAATCCTCCAGACAGCATTTTCTTTGTTCCATGATTTTGGGGATATGTCTGGAATCTCTGCCACTTTCTTTCCTCAGTCTGATCATAGTAGTATCGAAAGAGGATCAGGGACTGGATTCTGCTTTGCTCTTCTGACTGCTTAAGTAACACTGCACTGACATCTGTCGTCTTGATGCTTTCTTTCAGTTACACAGTTGAGTAACTTGATG